ATGAAAACTGAAGGTAGGAATTAAACATATTCTAGTATACTATCCTTTGTAAACTTATTTCTCAGAAGCACAAGGCTTGTTATTTATTTTAAATCAAGTTAATAACACAGAACCACTAATCCTAGGAGAGAAACCAGAGAATTTACAGCACTGGGCCCATCCTCAGGCAAGTCTAGCAGAAAAGACTGTGTTTCAGAGGGGTTATTTGGAAATTATAAACAGCACTGTATGCTCTTGGAAAAAAAATAAATTAGAGGGAAAATGAGAGCCAAACAGAAAACAGGGAAGCAATATGGCTCTGGGAAGCTAAGTGTATATTTCAGCACAGATAACAATACACTGTTGCCATTTTTATCCATAAAAATGACTAGCTTAAGGCCTAAATTAAGGGTTTTAACCAGTAATTACAATTAGCAGTAATTAATCCTATTAAATTACATCGTGAGGCTTTTAATGGAGTGAAAAAGAGCTGCTGTTTTCTTACATGTGGAAGATCCAGCTAGAAGAGGAAAACAAATATATTAACAAAGGTAGGATACACATACAGCCAAATACACTGACAAGGCAAATTAAGCAGATTACAGACAAGGTTGCAGAAGCCAGGCAGAACATCTTGCAACAAGACTGGATTTAAATCCATCTGGTTTTCAAAGGTTGGAACAGCTTGCTTGAGATCAGAGATAAAGCTACTTTTGTCATTCTTGGCCATTCATTGGATTTTCTTTCACCTCCAGCCTGATTGCAGTTCTGGACTTGCTGCTCAGCTGTAGTTTCTGGAGCTAGCTGATGGGAGTGCTGCACTGAGCTGCTTGGTACCTTGCAGTGATCCTCACTGCTTTTACCTCTATAGCACATGTTGAACAGGTAGCAATAGAGCGATCAAGTCAGACAAAATGACTGATGTGCCAGACAAAACATTGCAGATGGGAACATAAAGTCCCATTATATATGTATGATCAAGAATGTGGAGATTTGGACAACAGATACGTCTAAGGATGCATCCCATAATAAAAAGTAAGATTTGGACTGTGCTTCTAAGCAGCATTTTTTGAAAGAACACTGGCTTTCAGTGGGAGATATTATCTAAATGTCTTTGGGTCCTTGGGGCGCTTGCTTGTTTGTCAGGATTTGTTTTCTTCCACTGAAACCTTTTGCTTTCTGGAACTACTTTCTATTATCATAAATCCATGAGAAAAGTGAAAAATTAGAGCTCCATAGCAAAGTACACACAGTTCTAGAGGCTGTGCTGGCAGGCAACACTTTAGAAATTAATTTGGTCACTAATGCAAGATAATGAAGAAAATACTTACTTACAAATTAATGCAGTATTTTCTGAATGTAAATTGCATTGGCATGAGAAAGAGTCCAAATTAAAGCTCTGCCATGCTTCAGGAACTAACTGCACATTTCTGATGTTCGTTATGATGTGCCTTACAAAACGTCCCTTTTCCTCACACAAAATGTTCAGGGTACTTGGGAGTTGTTCAGAATAAGGGCTCCCCTCCTCATCACAAAGCACACAAGGAGGAGAGTGTCATTTACACTGATGTCCCTTTCCTAATGCCACTTACACCAGCTGTGAGCCTGTCTGTTTCCCCTGCGTTCAGATCTCTGTTGAAATACCCTTATGACAATTTTGGAACCCAGTCAATGCATTTTTGTACTGGATTGTCATATGATTTTGTGTTTCAGATACATTTGGCTAAAGATCTTGGCCACCCAGTCTGCTCAAAGCCTGCTAGATATCCAGAAATTACTAAAATGAATGGCCCTTGATATCTAGTGTGCCTGGAACTAATGGACTCTTTGTTGTTGGTGTTGGCTTTTAACTGATGCATTTGGACAGATTTGACGTGGGATCTAACACATGTAGGAAGTTTTTATTGCATATTTATTTTTCAACGTTGTATTGAAGTGCTGGAAAAGGTATTCTCATATTCCATTTTTTAAAGCACTTGTAAATGGTTTACAATAAATGCTTCTAGCAGAGCTATTATGAGAAAATGTGTATAAAAATCTGGAAGTGGTATGCAAGATAAAGAAGATCAAGCGTAAAATGGTGGAGAAAGGAAAAAAAGAATACTCTGGGTGAATATTCAGAAGACTTATTAAATATAAAAAGGTTTAATCACAGCAGCTACAGCTGCAGCCTCTAATGCCAGATATAGAGGAATAAAAATCATAGAATCATAGAATGGTCTGGGGGTTGAAAAGGACCATAATGATCATGCAGTTTCAACCCCCTTGCTGTGTGAGGGTTGCCAGCCACCAGACCAGGCTGCCCAGAGCCACATCCAGCCTGGCCTTGAACAACTCCAGGAATGGGGCATCCACAACCTCCTTGGGCAACCTGTTCCAGTGTGTCACCACCCTCTGTGTGAAAAATGTTGTTAGACATTCCTGGTATAGATATTTTGCTCCCAGAAATAATTTTTGCTCCCAGTAATCTTTTCAGTACTACCGTGCTGAAAAGATTACTGATGCAGGCAAACTCCTTAAGAGATTCATGTCACTTTCTAGAGGACCATATGCAATCCCAGTTTTCAGAGTCCTTCATGAGAAAATCCGCATCTCAGCTGGCCAGAGATAGATGCAGACAACTAAGCATTCTAAGAGCAAAATTACGGAAATTGTATTTTGAAATGTCTTATTATTATTGTTCTTGTTACAGTAAGAAAATTCCACTTATCTGACTTGGGCAGCCTGGTCTGGTGGTTGGTGACCTTGCACATAGCAGGGGAGTTAAAATTAGATGATCATTGTGGTCCTTTTAAACCCAGGCCATTCTATGATTCTATGATTCTATGCTCTTACTTTCTCACATTGATCTATTTTCCTTTGATGCATACTTCCCAACATTTAAGCCATTTATTCAGAGTTAAAGGATTACACTTTAAACAAGAAATTTCCCTGACTTTTTTAGCTACTAGGATGTAGGAGACACAGCATGAGACATGCTTTCTGGAGAAGAGAAGGCTCATGGGAGACCTCTGAAACTGATTGAAAGGAGGTTGTGGTGAAGTGGGGGTTGGCCTCTTACAACAGCAATCGGATAAGAAGTAATGGCCTTGATTTGCATCAGGAGAGGTTCAGGTTGGATATTAAGAAAAATTTCTTCCTTGAAAGAGTGGCCAGGCACTGCAACAGACTGCCCAGGGAGGTGGTGGAGTCACTGCCTCTGGAGGTGTTCAAGAAACATTTAGATTTTGTACTGAAGGACATGATTTAGCAGGGGAATACCGGGGGTAGGTGGAGAGCTGGACTAGATGATCTTGGAGGTTTTTTCCAAGCCTGGTGATGCTATGGATTTATTTTAAATTAAATTCTTCAGTAGAAGCTTCAATAACTTTGGTATTATTCATTGTATTGTGTATTTAAGATATACTACAGGGTAGGATTAAAGACTCCTACTGCAATGCAAATGCCAACATATAAATTTCTAATAAAAAGTTCTTAATTAGAAGGAATTAATTATAGGAAGGAATTAATAAATTCCTAACATTCCTAAAATTCCTAATAATTCCTTCTAATAATTATTAGAAGGAATTAATAAAAAAAGATGTTTTCAGTAGCAGAAATGAAGTTGCTTTCCTGCATAAAAGCAAGAAAATGGACACAAATTGATAGGAGCTAGACGATCTTTTAGGTCCCTTCCAATCCAAGCCATTCTATAAGTTAGATCTCACTTATGGCATATTCCTCACTGGGTGTACTTTTAGTTATTAGAACCACTTCTGACTGTTGTCAGAATTCTCTGTCCCAACCAGTGTGCCAAGACACAGGGAGAGACAGCTGCTCTCCCAAAGCTATGACTGAACGGACAAGGAGAACAGGAGGATGCTCCCCCTCCATGGGCTTACAGAGCAAAGCAATGCATGTATTGCTGCAGATGTTCTATGCAAATGTTGTCTAATTAGCAGAGCAGGGCCTAAGTCCTAAAAAAAGTGTAAAACCAGTGAGTATATGTATTTTTAAAGACAATTCTCATTCATTAGTTATATTTGATTTTGATGAGAACTGTGCTGGAAGGACATGATCTAGAATGGTTATGCCTAATAGATGAGGTACATAGATAAAAAAGCATGATCAAAACTGCCATGCTGGATCTCAGAAAATATCTGCCTGACTTGTCCAGCAACAGAAAGCAGAAGATGCTTTGGGAAAGTATACATGAAGTTGGGCAATTCTGCCTGATTCTTTCCTATGCATTTTCCTAGCTTCCACCAGGTTACATGTTGTCTGAGGCAGATGTTGTATCTGTCAAATTATCTCTACAAGGTACTTCTTTACCAATTTTGCTATTGTCTTTTTGAAATAATTAATATTTAAATAACATCTAAATAGCTTATGGTAACAAATTCAAAAACTTGATTAAATGATATATGCAAAGGTAATTCCCTCTCTCTGTCTTCAAATTGTTGTCTGATTTTGTTGAATGTTTCTTCCCCTTTGGATGTGTGAAACAGAATATAATTGTTCCTACTTATCTTCTCATTACCATTCAAGACTTTAAGACTTCTGTTTTATCTTCCATCTGTTGTCTCTCTCCAAGCTGAGAAATAGACTGTTTAATTTACCTTCTTATGGAAGATGTTCTATCCCTGTGATTGCATTTTTCACTCTTCTCTGCATTATATGCTTTTTTTTAGACTAAAACTGCAGGCAATGCTTGGGATGTAGGAGCACCAAGGATTTTAACAGTGATGTAGAGAGGTTTTCTGCTCTGTTCTTTGTTCCTTTGCTTGCAATTTCTGCTGCATTGCTAACGTGGAAGATCTTGTCTATTAAAATAGCTCATTTAGCTACATGTTCATTCAAAATGAATGCAGTAATGAGTTTTCCTTTAGGAAGAAATGAACAGTAATGAAATCAATGGAATGAAATCTCTGGAACATTCACTTTCTACTTCCCACTAAGTATATGCATAATATTTGGCTTCTTAACTGTTGCCATTTCATTCTGTGTTTGTATTCTTTCTTGAGAATGTGTACTCATTACAGAAGTACTTCACAGACTGTCCTTGAAGCTTGCCATCACATGGATGTGCCACAACTCATTCTTCTGGGCCGGGGCTAGTGTGTATGATTATTCTTTCACATACAGACATGTCCTTCCACTGAAGAGAATGCCTTGACAAAAACAAAGACTGAAGCTATAAAACTAATGTGCAACATCTGGATGACTGAATTGTTCCAGTTAATGAGATTCAGAGTTTCATCACAAATAAAAAGTAAGGAATACTTTTAAAATAAATGTCAGATTTATTGACTTCAGGGGATTCACTTCTCATCACATAGAGCTGTAATGGCTCCAGATCTCTTGAAAGGACCCCTGATCTGGTCTGACAGAAGCAAAAGGAGAGCAGAGGGCCTTTTGCTGCTGGAGATACCCCATGTTCTATCTCTGGCATATCTGTTGTCTCTGAACTTCTGTATATGTTGTTGTCCACATCTACAAAAGATTCTGTAAATGCAGGGGTCTTTCTGCTGCAGACACACTCATTTGTGCTAATTGCTAGACGGTCTACCAACCTTTCTAAGCTCTTTGTGACAAGCTTAATGATTATAAAAAAGGAATTGTCTGTTATGGGTAAGACCATAAGGGAGAGAAGACTCAGTAGATAACTCTACAAGGCCTATTTACAGCACTACTCAGACTGCTAGAAATGCTATGACAGCATCTTCAATCAAGTAGTCTGGTGAGCAATCCAGAACACTCTTTATTCAGGGCTGGCACGTCTCCATACTGAATAAATAAGACAGTTTAGTTGACACAGATAGGCCTTGTGATTAATTTCCATGGACCCTACATGGAGTCAATATTTGGTACCCAGGCAGTAGCTGTTCAAATTGCATATCTGTTTCTTAAATCAAGACTGAACCAGCTTTCAGCAACTATCATAGGTACTCTGAATGTACCCTTACACACAGAGAGAAAGCACATAAATTTGAACCCACTGGGACTTTGTGTTCAAAACTACCTGTATTTTATGACACATGCTTCCTAAAAATCCGGACTAGTCAGATGTTTGCAAGTCGCTGAAAGAAAATAAACTAACCTGTCGATTTAAACATATTAGTAGCTTCTGTCAACGCTAGCACACTGTGAGTCAGTCATGAAGATGAGAGACATACAAAATAGATAGGAAAATTGGATGTTATCCTGCACACTGCTGGGTATAATCACTAATATTTTCTTAACGAAAAATACCTTTCTCCTCTCTTCGGCAGCCTCCAGCTTTTTCTGGATCTCCTCAAGGGAGAGCTCTTTCTTCTTTGGAGAGGCTAAAGTTCGTGGTGCTTCCGAGACTGGGGATGGTGGCTTTAGGATCAGTTCAAAAGCCTGGCCCGAGGCACGTTTGTTGATTTGTTTAACTTCCATGTCTGCACAATAAAGTGAGAAGCGGTAAGCACTTCAATACTGTGGTGGTGTTAAGGAGAGAAGCAGTACAAAAATTAGTGTAGGATCAGAAATACAGACAAATGATTTAGCATCTTTGCTGTGGGCATTTCAAAGAAAATGGCAGATTATGGGCTGAAAATTGTCCTTGGGAGAAGTACATCCCATTTTACCTGCAATAGTTTATTTATACACGAACCCTATGAAGATAAAAATTTACAGCAGTTTTGGAAGCTTACTGGGGTTCTGTGTCATTTCACACTCCCAGCAAGCGCTGCCCAAACTGATTAAATTTTAAGCATGCTTTCATCTTTTCTGGGTTTCTTTGGGAACTATGATGTCAGCTGCGAAGACGTAATTCTCACATGGGAAGCACTTCTCAAGGTACTAGGAAAAATACAGCACCATATGAAAGATACAGCTTTAGGAGTTTAGCCAGTTGCTATTAGAAAAAATATCAAGCATCATGAGTAATAATACACAGTCAATGAGGCAATAGCCCAAATCAGCAAAAGAAGTGGTTAAATAAGCAAAATATTCTCTGTCTAACATTAGGTACCAGGATGGTGAACTGAGTCACGTCCCAACATTAGCACTTTATCTGACCTGCAGGTGAAAGTTACTCACCATCATATTTATAGATGTTCATGTTGCGAGGTTCAGGATAAAAACAGGAGCAGATCAGAGAGAGCATGGACAGCTCCTTCATCTTTTCCTTGTAAGCTGAAACAAGAGAACTTGTTAGCAAACTCCCCTTCTTCAGCTTCTCCTTAGTGAATCTCTAACTGCGATGACTGACCATGGACCAGCAAATCTGCTTCATAACCCACCTGGCAGATTTATCCAGAATATTTATTTTGTTTCTTCTGAACATGGAGTCTTTATCACATCAAATATGAGATGTTCGGTACTGAATAAACTGCTTCTGTTGTCATGCATGACCTCAGCCTTGGCTCAAATGTATACAGTCCTCTTTCAGTAAAAGAAAGTGAATCTAGCTACCAGGAAATGTATTTAGCATTGGAAGAGTGCCATGATCCCACTATCTCCTGGCAGGTGGAAATAAATGAAGCTCTTACAAATTTCCATGACGTCTCCAAATGCAATTGGGAACAGCTCTGAAACATTGCCCATGTGTTGCCATAGGCAGATGCTAAACTCATTATCTGCAACAAATGAAAATGTCATCCAGATAATTAAAAATATAGCCAGAAATGAGGATCCATTTATAAAATCCTTAGCATAATGTCCTTAATATGAGAAAGTACTTGAAACAAAGAAGTATTTCCCTGTTCAATTCCTGTACAGTCACTTTGCTTCCATATTCAGGCCTACTGAATATCAGCTGATGCAATAAACACACTTCCAATTTACCTTCAGTGTTAGTCTGCAGTGCCTATAGACCCCAGTAATGGACTGAGAAATGGTGGTACCAATTCTTAGTCGTTACATGATAGTCTGCATTCGCCCATCCTAATTGCTGACATCTCAGCTTATTAACTGGAAATTAGAACCCAGACAAGAGCCAGGCCTCCTGAGTCCTGTGGCAATACACCAGCTGCTGCACACACAGTGCAAGGTATGTATGTTGGTGGGGCTGCTTCAAAATTGACCTTGGCACACGCAAATACTGCTGCTATTAAAATCATATCTACAGAGTCAGACATATATTTGCAGCCTGCATATAAAAAACATAACTTACAACATAACTGGGTCTGAAAGTATTGCTTTTAACAGAGTAGACCAAATTAATCCTTGATGTTACAGTAGGAAAATCAGAAAGCCCTGTGATCCTGAAATAGTGGGTGCAGATAAAATTGTCATTTAGTATTTCTCATGGCTGCTCTTCTTTTTTTTTGTTTTTTTGTTTTTTTTTCCTACTCAGAAAGGCCCTGATGAGGTCTTGAGAGCCTGTAGGTGATGCTCAGAATGGTGGTATTTGAATGATACATCAGTTTAAAAATGGATTTCTAACCACCAGTGCATGATTAATTAAGTTAACGAATCTTTGGACACTAAATAACCCACCCAAAGGACATACAGCTTTACAGAAACCACTGGTGAAAGTAGCATCTCAGGTCAAGGTTGTATGGAAGACTTTGCTTTCTCTGAACTAAGATTGCTAAGGAAGTTTGGATTTCAAGTTTTTCTTTTGAAACCAAGTGCCAACTTGCAAAGAATAACTCAAATATTCCCTGAAGAGTCAAATGACTTTGAACTGATGTCTACTGATAGTCAAACATAATGTTATATTCATTTAAGCCCTCATCCAATAAAGTGTGTGACCACATGTGTAATCCTAAGCACAAAAGTGTGGCTGTACAAATTATCCTTGGAGGAGGGCTTGACCAGCCAGCTGCCCACACCACCAGAACTTCATTGTGGAGGTTGTGGAAAGATCCTGCATGAGGGGCTAGTCAAAACATAGGAGGTTGTCTGTTAAAGACAGGGCCATTGATAATATGAGCTGAAAGCTTAACGTTGTAAAAGACCCAATGAATCACTGGCACAACATATAGCTCGAAATATCTTTGTAGGAAGAGGCATGTAAAGAGATGTCTGAAGAATCCTGCCTTTTGGGTCCCCGTTATTATGTTTTCTCCTTGCTTGACATTGAATATGTCTTGTATCCTAGCAGCATTAAAATCAATCAGAAAAGGGTGTTTGTTCTGCTAGCTTGTCATCTGCAAAATACGGCTGGAGAAAGATAAGAATGTGCACAGCTCTCATTTCTTTTAATACAATAGCTGCACTGAAAGCACACTGCTGAAATTATTGTCCTATTCCATTCTGAACACGGACAGAATTAGGATGACATTCCATGCTTTACCGATATTACATTTTGCTTCTCAGGGTATTGATTTAGTCTCTATTTGCCCTATGAAGTCCTTCAACCACAGTTAGAACATACCTTGAATGTTCACAGCAATTTCTGGAGACTGCTGCAACTCTAGAAACCACAACACATGGGTGACATGGGCCAGCATAGGAGGAGAAGACCTATTCTGCCTCATGCAGCCACTGGGAGAGCATGCTGTACTCCTGCAGTGTTGTTGGGTAGTTTTGTCTATTGGAAAATTAAGGTCTGAGGGTCTCGAAGGAATGGAAGACCTGCACACCTCAGGTGTCCAACATCAGTGTTGTGAAGACTTCTCCCCCATGACCAGACGAAGACTGACATATGTGGTAAGAAAAAGTAGTTTGGTTAGCCCAGTGACAACTATGCAGGCATCTCTAGATGGTGGTCTTGATTGCAGCGGCTGGCCAGTGTCATACAGGGAGCTCATGACTGAACAGGGGGACAACTGTGATTTCCCAAGTCCTATGGAGTTAAGTGTTGTAGCCACAGAAACACATTCTCTCTAAAGGAAACATTTTACATTTAAAAACAAAAGGCAACAGTACAACATTTATGCATATTACACAGGTCTTCTTGTGTTAACTGAAATAGGTACCAAAATGTTCTGTTACATAGCGGAGCTTTTAAAAACTCATAAAGAGTTTCAGTGATTGCAACAAAGTTTATTTTCCAAATGTGTTTCAACTGGCTTACTAACGATACAGCTTCTTGTGCAGTCATGTGGGGTACATATCATTGCATTAAATGTGCAATTTAAATAAAGGCAAGTAAATGATAGTAATCATTATAATACAAAAGCTTTGATAGGGAAATTGCTAGGAAAGAAATTGTTGACAAAAGATTGTAACAGAATCTTCTCAGTTATAGGCAGCACCATTTAAATGTTTAGCTGCATTAAATGCCTTGAAGTCTGGCATGAACTCAGAACATGTATTTTTGATAAAAGCATAAGAGATTTCAGTATTAGCAATCATACAATTCTTTTTTTTTAAAGTGAATTCCTTGTATTCGCAATTGTAGAAAGGCTTGGAAATAGTACCAAATGCCCTTAAAAACTTTGACAGCTTCAGAGAAGAATCTCAGATTGGATTGAAACACAAAAATTCATGATTTTTTTTTTTTTTCCTGAATGTGTTCCAAATGCATCTTAATATCACAGCTTGAAGCAAATAACACTACCTTTTGAAACTTCTGAAATCATTTCTAACGGCTGTGCCTAAAAATTATGAAACCAATCCCTGTGTTGGTAAACATTTTGATACTTTAATAAATTTTTGTGGGCTCTTTACTTGCTGGATCCTCCTGCTGCATCTGTATAACAAGCAGGGATGCACAGCAGATTGAAACCTGTGGAGGGATGCAATCCCAACGACCCCATGCTACATGCTGTAGACATTTTGAGGGTCTTTTCTTTAGACTAGGTTAGTTCCATGATGTGAACAACCATTAGCTCCTGAGCTCAGTAGAAGTGCAACTGAAGGGTATCTTCCAGTTTTCTTTACCTCACAACTAAACTCTCAGTTTGCTCTGCAGTGTAGACCAAAGCTTGGTCAACTGGGGTTGATGATTCACTTCAAAATTGCTCTCCTGACCTCAGATTTAGTCAGAAACACTCCATATTTCTTCACTAAAGACAGAGGTCCTTCAACTCGCCCCCAGGTTGAAGCTAAGAGGCAAGAGCACTATGGCTGCCATTGGAAGTCAGCAAACAGTTATCTACTGCTGGGAGAAGCAGGAACATTAGGGAAAACACTGTTAAAACCACCCTGTCTGCTCTCATCTGTTACCAAATAGCTATAAGGAATTTTCTACAGTTTACACTGAAACATGAAAATCTTTACTGACTGATGGGCCATGGGCAATCCAGTCACATTTTGTTCCTTGGCAAAGGAGAGTTAGGACAGATTGCTGTGTCACAGAGGAGACCGTTATTCACAATCAAGACTATTTTTAACACATGAAAGCAGAGAGATAAGTGTAAATGTTACTTTATAATTAACATCTGATGAACGTAAGTCTGTTGATTCATTTTCCCTTACTGAATCCAATCTACATATTATAAAATGTTACTGATTTTTGAAAACTGAAGTGCCACCAGCCAACTTTTGAGAGTCTGTGCACCTGGAGGAAAGTTTGAATGGGCATATTGCCCATGGCCAAAATGTGCAACCTGTTGGATAGTTCAGCTCCACTGCCTTGCTGGGCATCCACAAGACAGATTGCTTCCTGAGGTGAATTACAGTCACTAACTGAAATCCCACTTTTTAAAATTTATTTATTTATTTATTTATTTTTAATTTATTTGGAAGAGAGTGTAAGAGTAAGAAATAAGATAATGAAGCATGGAATGCAAGGTACAGAATATCTACCACAACCATCCTCTGCACTGATCTCTCAAGAATGTTACTGAGAGAACGGCTTCTTACAAATTTCACTTTGTGACTGCCCTCTTGGAAGTGTTAGAGTTTTTGGTTTGTCATGAAAAGCCACATCATTTATTGACCAGTGATTTTATTTTCATAATTCATTTGAGTAATATTGTGCATACTTTTCTGTGAAATGAAATGGTGTGACCTAACCATAACTGTAACTGATAACTACCAGAAGCAAGCCAAGATAGCCCTATCAAATTATTATCTATCTGGCACGCATTTTATCCACATTTTGCTTTTCTCTTAATCACTGAAGATAAAATTTTGATTAATCTCTGTAGATTTAAAAGAAAGCACACAGAAAAAAATATTTAGTTGGCTTTATCCTTTTTGATTATAAACAGGGCCATTCTTTGTTGACCAAGCCTTTAAAAGCGCACTCTTCATTTAATGCAAAGCAGTTTTGTGTGGAGAGAATTTGAATGATGTCCCATGCCCCTGAATTTTTGCTATTTCAATGTCTGTGCCATAAGGGAAGGAGACAGAAACTGTGAAAAGGAAAGAAGAAACAGAATGCAGAAAAGAAATTGTGCATTACTGAGTTTCCTTTGTGAACACTGACAATAAAGTGCACAATAAGTGCAGAAAATGAGATAGAACTTGGACAGATTAATCTGCGTTTGTAGTAACTGAGAATTTTAAAAAGTACTTTTAGGCATTCATTTCTGTATCTTTCATGGACATTTTGAAATCACAAAAGCTATCTAGGTTCCAGCAGAAGTATGTGCAATTTTATTCTCTTTGAATAGAAAGCCTTGTTAGAAAAATAGATTAAAATGGTTTGGAGGAGAATCAAGTAATAGTACTGTTCATAGAGGCACAGGGTGGCAGTGGAATTAGGGAGCATGACTTCTTCAAAACACAAGAACTGATGAAAATGACAGATCTGACCTTTCATACTATTGTGACTGCATCAAATTGTACCAAACCATTAACCCTACCATCAAATGAAAGCTCTCACATGGCCTTTCTACAGCACAGGTGGCAGAGCAGTATCTGGCTGGAAAACCCACCCACAGGAATATACAAGCAGCTGTTTGCTTATGCAGACTACCCAATAATGCCTTCCTGGATTATTCCAG